GGTGGAGAGCGGTGGGTGCAGTGGTTAGCGCGTTGAATTGTACCGGGAACCCAGTGACCTGAGATTGATTCCCGGCCACGGTTAACATCAGTGGCAATTGATGATTATCCGAAACAGTCTCCCCCACCCTTCACCAGCCTGCACTGGGCAGCGTAGTGAAGTGTGGTCATATCAAGGACTGTAAATTCATATTAAACAAAAATAATAATCGTATGAGAGAAATCTCCACCATTGCCACGAGTTCATGGCCAATAAGTTAACTTTTGATTTATGATTGACCTACATTGATTGCACTTTCCACCGTAGGTTGCAACATGGACCCGATTTAAATTCGTTTCTTTTTCAAGACGTGTGACGCATCATAAGGACACAACAACAATAACAACACCACACGAAGATCTTGTCAACAACTAGCAAACTTTAATAACTCGCATTACACACACATGCTTGCAGAGGGGGAAAAAACGTGGCCACGTTATACGCACACCGCTTTAGAACTGTACAAATATCGTAAGAATCGCTCCATCGCGATGATCGCCGTCCTTCCTTACCCATGAGGTGCAAATTAAAAACAGAAAACAACCAGCACGTACACAATTGCATTTCGCAGTCCCATCGCTCATCGACACCGTAGCGCCTGCGTGCTCATCAGGGGCCGTCCATAAATGACGTCACGCGATTTTGGACGATTTTTGACCACCCCCCTCGTTACAAAAGTCAGACCCCCCCCTCAAATATGACGTCACAAAGCTCTGCCCCCCCCAAATAAAACATGCTTCAAATAGCTTTAAACTATTGTCATTGTAGTGCGTATTTAATGTGGCGCTGCACGCTGCATGTTGTAGGAGAAAACATTTATCAAAAAGTATATTTAATTAAGTAGAACGTGTTGTCTATATTTATTTAAATTTGCGCATTTTGATGCGACGTCACATTTCTCAACCCCTCTCCCCCTCGTCACACATCGTCACAAATGTCTGAACCCACCCCCCTAGGTGCGTGACGTCATTTATGGACGGACCCTCACGCGCGCGTGCTCGTCACGTCTTAGCACTTCGCTCTTGAGTCGCTCGCTCCGTGGTCGCGCAGGAGCCAAAAGCCACTCACACTCCGTGTCAACACCGCGGCAGCAGAGTGAGAGGCTCATGGCTCGCCGTCGCGCACCGCAACGCGACAGCCTTTTGGAAATATCCGCTCGGGGACATTCCGAGATTGCGTGTTGGGTTCGGACGTGCGCGTGTTTTGGTCACGTGACGCACGCACAACACATTAGCGAGAGATATTATGGAAGTGGGGGGGGGGTGGAGTTGGCCGTTTTGGTGGTTACACATTATATGTATGTTGAACTTCTTTCGCGCCGTACGTAGCTAACCGTGCTAATCCGTGGTGAGGAGTAGGAGGAGAGGGGGAAGACGACAAACTAAGGACATTCCAATGTAATTGTGTTGATCTTGGTGAGAACAAAAAATCCTCAGTGAAAAACCCAGAAATCAAACAACGCGAAACTACAGGAAAGAGAAGCAAATGGAATCCGTTCTTGTCCGTGGCAGTGATGAACCCGCGGGGTGAGAGGGGGGGGGAGGTAAATTGTACTACAAAGCAATTCATTTCGAGAGATAAAATTAATGGAATACAAATTTAATTATCATATTTCGATGACACCGCCGCCGCTGTCGGCACGCTGGACTTGCCACCCACAGGCCGCCCCCGTTCGATTCGTTTTCCCAGTTGCAGAGGTCGGTGCAAGTTTATAAAAGTTCGCTACATTTGGACTCCGTCGACCGAGCAGCACAGATGGCTTCCCTCCGCAATTAATTGGCAGGCCGCGTGGAGGTGAGATAAAGTGTGAGAACTCGAAGCTCTTCTCAGCCGTCTGACGAATTTGGAAGAGTAGGCCAAGAACTCGCCCTCTTGCCGAGGCCCTTCCGCAAGCCGCTGTGTGTGTGCAAACAATTGCCGAGCTTGCAACCTTTACCTGTCGAGGATTTAAACGCAACGTAGATCAAGACGCACCGTGTATTTATTTACATTTTCACGTGTGGAAAAAAATCTCAGAAAACAATCGGTGTCTAGCAATGTTTGGGTGATGGTGGCGGCGGCGTGGGGGGGGGGTCGTTTGGGGGCAATTTTCCCCTTTTGCTCTCCCCCCTCATCCCACCGCCCTATCCCGCTGGGCACGCCTCTGAAGTGCGGTTTTTTTTGGTTGCCGGGAACTCTCAAAAAGGCCGCGGCGGCGGAGACGGCGGAGACGGCGAGCTCTTGGCAAAGGCACGCGAAGCGTCAAAGCGAGACACATGCACACACAGGGCCACGCACACCCACACACACAGGCCACACACACACACACACAGGGCCACGCACACACACACACAGGGCCACGCACACACACACAGGGCCACGCACACACACACACAGGCCACACACACACACAGGGCCACGCACACACAGGCCACACACACACACAGGGCCACGCACACACACACAGCCACGCACACACACACACAGGGCCACGCCACGCACACACACACACAGGGCCACGCACACACACACAGGGCCACGCACACACACACACAGGGCCACGCACACACACACAGGGCCACGCACACACACACACAGGCCACACACACACACAGGGCCACGCACACACAGGCCACACACACACAGCCACGCACACACACACACAGGGCCACGCCACGCACACACACACACAGGGCCACGCACACACACACAGGGCCACGCACACACACACACAGGGCCACGCACACACACACAGGGCCACGCACACACACACACAGGGCCACGCACACACACACACAGGGCCACGCACACACACACACAGGGCCACGCACAACACACACACAGGCCACACACACACACAGGGCCACGCACACACACAGCCACGAACACACACACACAGGGCCACGCCACGCACACACACACACAGGGCCACGCACACACACACAGGGCCACGCACACACACACACACACAGGGCCACGCACACACACAGGGTCACGCACACACACACACACAGGCCACGCACACACACACACAGGGCCACGCACACACACACACAGGGCCACGCACACACACACAGGGCCACGCACACACACACATACAGGGCCACGCACACACACAGGGCCACACACACACACAGGCCACGCACACACACACATACAGGGCCACGCACACACACAGGGCCACGCACACACACACAGGGCCACGCACACACACACATACAGGGCCACACACACACACAGGCCACGCACACACACACGCACAGGGCCACGCGCACACACACAGGGCCACACACACACACAGGGCCACACACACATACAGGCCACGCACACACACACACACAGGGCCACGCACACACACACACACAGGGCCACACACACACACAGGCCAAGCCACACACACATACAGGCCACGCACACACACACACACAGGCCACACACACACACACAGGCCACACACACACACACAGGGCCACGCACACACACACAGGGCCACGCACACACACACACAGGGCCACACACACACACAGGGCCACGCACACACACAGGGCCACGCACACACACACACAGGGCCACGCCCACACACACACAGGGCCACGCACACACACACACAGGCCACACACACACACAGGGCCACGCACACACACAGCCACGAACACACACACACAGGGCCACGCCACGCACACACACACACAGGGCCACGCACACACACACAGGGCCACGCACACACACACACACAGGGCCACGCACATACACAGGGTCACGCACACACACACACACACAGGCCACGCACACACACACACAGGGCCACGCACACACACACACGGCCACGCACACACACACAGGGCCACGCACACACACACATACAGGGCCACGCACACACACAGGGCCCACACACACACAGGCCACGCACACACACACATACAGGGCCACGCACACACACAGGGCCACGCACACACACACAGGGCCACGCACACACACACATACAGGGCCACACACACACACAGGCCACGCACACACACACGCACAGGGCCACGCGCACACACACAGGGCCACACACACACACAGGGCCACACACACATACAGGCCACGCACACACACACACACAGGGCCACGCACACACACACACACAGGGCCACACACACACACAGGGCCACACACACATACAGGCCACGCACACACACACACACAGGCCACACACACACACACAGGCCACACACACACACACACAGGGCCACGCACACACACACAGGGCCACGCACACACACACACAGGGCCACACACACACACAGGGCCACGCACACACACAGGGCCACACACACACACACAGGGCCACGCACACACACACACAGGGCCACACACACACACACACACAGGGCCACGCACACACACACACAGGGCCACGCACACACACACACAGGGCCACACGCACACACACACACAGGGCCACACACACGCACACACACACAGGGCTACGCACACACACACAGGGCCACACACACGCACACACACACACACGCACGCACACACACAGGGCCACGCACACACACACACACACAGGGCCACGCACACACACAGGGCCACGCACACACACACACAGGGCCACGCACACACACACACAGGGCCACACACACACACAGGGCCACGCACACACACACACAGGGCCACGCACACACACACACAGGGCCACACGCACACACACACAGGGCCACACACACGCACACACACACAGGGCTACGCACACACACACAGGGCCACACACACGCACACACACACACACGCACGCACACACACACACAGGGCCACGCACACACACACACACACAGGGCCACGCACACACACAGGGCCACGCACACATACACACAGGCCACGCACACACACACACAGGGCCACGCACACACACACACAGGGCCACGCACACACACACACAGGGCCACACACACACACACAGGGCCACACACACACACACACAGGGCCACACACACGCACACACAGGGCCACGCACACACACACACAGGGCCACACACACACAGGCCACACACACACACAGGCCACACACACACACACACAGGGCCACGCACACACACACACAGGGCCACGCACACACACACACAGGGCCACACACACACACAGGGCCACGCACACACACACACAGGGCCACACACACACACACAGGGCCACGCACACACACACACAGCGCCACTCACGCCGCGTCGTGCCATGGCAAGGACACGACCTCCCCGGCGGCCGAGGGCATGCGGGTTCCCCACAAATGGTGGAATGCATCTCCAGAGCCGGCCATGCTGTCCCCTGCCTCGCTCTCCCAATGCCAGATGAAAGGAGGGAGGACAGAAAGAGAGAGAGAGAGGAGAGAAAAATAAAAAGCCCCATAAACTTCCTTTTTTTTTGTTGCTGTGCGGCAATATGCTCGCCGCCCTCTGTGATCGGACGAACGCTCACCGAATTTCAAAATAAAATAGAAATTCCCCTTTAACCTGACTAGTGCAGGAGAGATCTGTAATTAAAAAACAAATATTTTTTGGGCCGTGAAATGTTGTTTCGGCGTCGCAGAACGCTTGTGACAAAGTGTGGAGCGGGCGGCGCATTGGTCGGTGGCACACTGCGGATCGCGAGTGAGATTCCCAGACGCGGCCAACCGGTCCTGGCCTCCAGACAACCCGCACCCCCGGCCCGCCCTCCCTACCTGCTCCGTTCACCAAACTAAATTGACTAGGATGGTGAAGTATGGTTAAACAATCCTGCAAGGCAGGCCTTCATCCGGCAGTGGATTGACAAAGGGCTATACATTGTTAAATACCGTATATTTACATACAGCCCCTTTTTGTCAATATACTCTTGGATGTAGGTATCCCCACACTGTGCCAGTTACGGGGGGGGAGGGGCGGGGTTGACCATACTTCACCACAATGGGTCATCGAGGGTTGGTAACAATGGGTGGGTTCAGAGCGGAGCATGTTAACCACTGTGCTACCACTGCCCCCTTAAACATTATTATTATTAAACAAATGTGGTGACAATCTTGAGAAACAACGATTAAGCACGGCTGGCAACGTACGGCGCGAAAGAGGCTCAGCATGCGTGCGTGCATACAGGTGTAGAGGTGTAATTGCGCATGGCTACGAATGTTGAGGTGTGATTATGCATGGCCACGGATGGCCAACAAACACAAGGGGCGGGGTTACGGCCGTACACAAGGGTGGCGCTCGCACCGACGTCCGCATGTGTATCCCCCACGGGCCCCCCCCTTGGGGGCAAGTCCTATAAAAGGTGATGAGCCGAAAGGCTCGGGAGTCGGGACTCAGCTTTAACCAGTGAAGAACGAAGACCTGCTAGTATAGGCCCCGGAGCTCCCCTGGCTCGCTGTCCTTCTAAGGGCCGACCAGGGCAAGCCGGTGGCGTGGCCCCGAGAGCCCAGACGAAGCTGGTCTGGTGACTCAGGGAGCCGGGATCCCAGCTTAACCAAGCTGGGACAGATAGCCTCCCCTAGTCCCGTAGTGGAGGAGTTGGTATAGGCTAGAGGGGTTAGCTGTCGAGAAATCCCTGTAGCCCGGTGACCTGTAATAACAGTGTTGGTGTAATAAATAAGTGTGCCTCCGATCCTGTCGTCAAGCCTCCATATATACTTACTACACAGGTAAAACACTGATCTACAGCCTGTACAGGTGATCCCCGTTCGCACGACGTTACAATGCGTTCCTGGAAACCCCGTGGTGGAAAATCGGATCGTATTTTCCGAGATGGTAGAAACAGTGGATACATCACTTGCCGATGTGTTGTTTTTTCCCCTTTTATCAGACGTATTTAACGGGGTTTCCATCGGTAAAAATCCACACGCAAAAAAATACTGGAGAATAACAAGGGCTCCACGTCACGTGATGTCGGAAATGAGACCGACCCTGTTCAAACGCGTTCCGGAGTCGCGTTTATTGATTCGTCGCAAATCAAGCTCCTGGCGTCGTAAACGCATCCATACATTATACAAACGTCGTGATCGTGGACTGCCGTGAACAGGAGACCACCTTAACTACGGATGTCTGGAATAAGAAGAGTGAAAAAGATAACAGCACAAATGAAATGTCTGCACACACCGCAGCGAGCGCACAGCTCCACACAATCACACACTTTACAACAAACCTGCCACACCTTCAACGGAAATATATACAATAATATGTTCGGCTATTTTACATCGCAATGTTTACTGAAAAAGGGACTCGAGCGATTTTGCTAATTGCACCAACGAGTTTGGCAATTTGCGCACACACACACTGGTCATCAATATTTATACGTGGATTTGCGTACACATGACAACAATGATGGGACTGTAACAATTTACCACAACCTGTTGAGGTTTCAAGGCATTCTCTCGATTTCACGCCTCGGTTTTGACACGTTTTTTTTTTGCTCTCTCGTTCGTTTGAAAAATTGCGTTCGCTCCCGTTAGCTTGAGAGAAATCGGGGGTGCAAGCCTGAATCGCGACGATTAGATTCACATTTAGGGGTGAACATTTCAGGTGACAATTATACCGCTCTACATTACAGCCAATAATAATAATGATGATGAATGGAAAAATTATGGCTGGGCGATGATGATGACGATGCATCGATAGGCGCTCATCTCGTGTAAAGGAGGCCCCAGTAAGTCGCACGCTCAAGGGCAGACCGCCTGATTTTGCGAAGATTAGCCAGATGGGGGGGGGAGGGGGTCTGCTGTCGCGATGCAATGGTCACAGCACTGTCGAAACGCCACCCCAGAGGTCACCGGTTCAACACGAGCTCCTGTCACGGCGGCTGAGAACAATCGGAGAGTTCCTTGAACGCTGCCACCTCTTAATATTTTTCCGTTCGTTCAACTTTTTTTAAACGGCTGCCAAAATGATCCGAGGAGAGGGCTTTAGAAGCGTCGTGTATTTTTTTCAAGTTTACGTCGCCGCAATTTAAATCGTGCTCGTTCAGCCGTCCGAGCCGGCGACGTGTCGTCACGTTTGTGTTCAGGCTTCAGCCACAGCACCCGGTCAACCATCACAAACCTGGGCGCACACCGCAAACACGTACAGCACAACCGCGACAACAAACCTCGCATTCGAAACGACGTGACTTACGTACAGTATTATCACAATAGCTTTTGCACATTCTATGAACGTACCCAAAATACAATCACACACTCACGCACAGCTCAATTGCTCAATAAACGCTCCAGCTTAATAGTCGCTTGAAACTTCGGAAACAAATGGACAAGTATCCTCACGAAAAAAAACATTTCCACGCGATTCTACACACGAGGAAATCGAAGCAACAACGATGCAATAAGCTCAACGTCAATCAGATCGGGGGTGGGGGCTGGGGGTGGGGGGGGGGTCTGACCCGCCCCTACTGGACATCTGTGAAAAAGAGCTTTATAGCTCCTCGGATTCCTCCAGTGTAAATATTATGACTCTGAATAAAGTCGTCGTGAGCGGTCGGGTTAAGACTTCACGCGAGACCAACTCGGCCACTCGGGTTAATTCGACGTGGCACGCGATGGGTCCCCCTCGTCATATCGCGGCGATCGTCAGGCGCAGCCTCGTGCGTGCTCGGGTCTATAGCCGGTCGCCGCGGTGACGAGATGTTCACTACCTCGCCTGGTATACAGGAGGTCGCGGGTTCGATCCCGACCCTGACGATGCCTGCCCGTATGTTTGGAGTTTGCGCGTTCTCTCTCCCCGTGGTCGCGTGGATTTTTCTCCGCGGTCCTCCCGTTAATTTCACCTCCACGTTTAGACTCGACGTCACGTGTTTGGAGTGTTTTTGCAGCCGCTCCCTCCTGCACCCCCATCCACCCACACACGTTTACGCAGCACCGCCAACTCAACCACAAACCCCACCCGCTCAACCACGAGTCCCGCCCTCACAGCGGGGCCATGAGGAACAGAACGTTTTGAATCGGGGGACAAAATTGTAATGTCCACCACAAAGGGTCGTTGAACCCACGGAAGATTTTGCAATTGTCAAGTAGCACCCGAGGTGGCGTGGCCTTATTGGTTCCAATGTTTTGGATGTAGCTGATAACAGCGAATTACGCGTTAAATGAGTGTATCGGTGCGACTGCAATTGAGCCACCTTAGGCGGTACCGATTTCTGCTCTGGCCCATGGACGAAAATGAATCATCCGGAGGCACCAATACAGCGGTCAAGCGAGTGCTTGCGCCGGTCAAACCAAGGACATTTTGATCTAAACCGCAGAGCAGATATTGAGAAAACGAGCACCGATTGGTCACGAGAAACACCCGCGCACGGCCTCCACCCGTTAAAATAAAAGCGACGCCGCACCGCCTGAATGTTGAGACAGTGGCCAGATTTTGTAAACACAGCAGCCGACCTGCGCTGCAGCGCAAACAGCAGCAGCAGCAGCACTGCTTCAATGCTCTATCGGGGCCTAGGGGTCACAGTTGGCAGATGAGATTTTAAGTCGGCCCGTTATCTCTTTCTCACTTCAAAGGAGGGCGTTGTTTTTGTGGTGACACTGACACCTATTTAGAGAGGCTGTGTGTGTGCACGTGCGTGTGTGTGTGCACGTGTGTGTGTGTGTTGCCCTTAGGGGAAGCGGGAGTGCAGCGGTTAGCGCGTTTGCGCTACGAACCCGTGGCCCGACTACGATTCCCACTCACGGCCAACACCAGTCACAATTATGTCAATCGGTCATGGGACTCCCCTAGGTCGACTAAGCCTCAAATGAATAGATGTTGTGATGTGTAAATATCACCACTGGGGAGACAGGCAGACAGGCTTGGTGCTGGCGGCCACCCACCACCTCGTGCGCCGTGCCGGCCTTCATAGGTGCTCGCTAACAGCATTTGCCCCAAAAGTCTGTTTAGGCTATATGCGGATCTTTGTCTTGTGTGTGTCCAGCATGGGCAGGGTCCACCACTACTAGAGACGCACGGGATGTCGTCTGTTTCATAGACACGCTTGATATTTCTGCGTCTCATATGACTGTTTTTTTCATTCTGAAATTATATTCTCTTTCAATCACGCCACGTAACCCTACTTTATAATGACCTTATTCCGTAAAAAAGAGAGCTACCTCCATGATCTTGCTACCCTATGTATTTGCGAGCTCGTGATAAACTGCTTCTAAAAAATTATTGTTTGCATTAGCCACTCTTGAGCGGTACCGAAACGTAATTTCGGGCCCAGGGCTCATTGAAAGGTTATTTCGTCTGTTTTCGTTTTATGTTTTAAGGCTGCTACACCAACACTGCGTTGGTGGTGGCAATGATCGTCGTTCAGCAGACGTGCAAAACCGTGTCCACTAAGCACCGTCGGGAAAGCACCATCTGTTCACCGACTAACCAAACAGCAACAACAACAGACATGTAAAAAAAAGGATCGTTTTTAACGATTGCTTAAGTTAAACGATCAAGATTTAAACGTTAACTGTGCACTCAGCAGGCATCAGCGTACAGTAGCTGTACAAGGGGTCCGAACTCGTTCCACGTGTGCCGTTTCTTACCAACTACTTCAGTGTTTTACTTTCGCCGATTCGCAAAACCAAGCTTGACAAGATGCTGTGTCTTTCCAGCATACACAATTTACAAAAAGCATTTGTTCGCAAGATGTACTTGACGCGGATAACGAGATTAATACCATGCTCTACATCAGTGCACAAATGCCCTCCCCTTTGGGCTGTTAGTGTCAAAATAACGATCACCTGAATACGAGATGTGATGACAGATCACGCATTAAAATACAGCGATTGATGAAGTATTACGACATTTATGAGGGATGTCCCAAAATAACTTACGTTTTTTCAATTTTTGTTTGTTCATTTCTAGATATAATGTACCACACACGTTTTGTTTTACAAACAACCGCGTTAATCTGTTATTTTTTTTTAAACGCTTGTTTACACAGGAATGCCTCACCAAGCCTCAATACTCATTTTCAGGAGGGTCCTGCCAGGTTTTCGCACAAAGTGGGTCGATGTTTCTAATGCTGCGTGTGATACAAATCGAGTCATTTGCACGTCATTTGTCGGCATTAACTATGGGAGGAAACCAGCGAACCCAGATGAAACCCATGCAGAGCAGGGAGGAAACAAACAAACCCCGCACAGAAAGGCGCACTGGGTTGGGATTCGAACCCAGGCCCTTCGTTCTGCGAGATACAGGTGTTACCACTGCGCTGACACCCAATTTAAAGCCCGCACTAAGTGAACACGTCCGGAACATTTAGACGGCAGATGCCTCATCCTCCTCGTGCAACATGCCGATGCAAAGACTACACATACAAGAAACACGCGAGCACTGAGAAAAATCAGAGGCCAATGCACAGTTCGGGTGGACCGACTTGCGAGAAATCTGACAAATCGTGGCGATGGAATGCCGGCCGTTGTCCTGAGTGCGTGGAAAATTAACGGGAGGCTGTGTTGAAAAACGTATTTTCACACTTTTCTACACATTGCCATTAATGAAAATCTACAAAATTTTACATCAGTTCAATTGAAAACAAACTATGAGGCATTACTTTCGGAGCATCCCTCGTATTACAGAAGCAACTATTTATTTTATTTAACAGCCTCTGGAGACCAAAAAAGTAGCACCAAAATGATATTTTTACCACTTGAGGCCTGCCTAACTTCAAGGTTTGAAAAGGATCAAATGAAGTAGCAAGTTACAGTGTGTTCGGGAAAACAGGCAAGTGTGCGCGCTACATCATTAACTCTTTAACAGTTGTTCGAGATGCTTCAAGTTGGCAAAATCCAACGCTGTGTAGCCACTCACCCCAGCTGTGAAGTCAGAGCATAGGCCCGGACACTTCAACTCGCGGACAGCATCAGCCACACGGGGCCCACAAGGCCCTCAAAGGGGCCCACAAAGGCCCTCAAAGCGGCCCGCCGAGACGCGAAGAGATACGCAGCAGGGCCTTGTGACACTTGATGTACCCCCCCCCCCTCGCTGGGTTATCCGATTATTTAAGTAATCGATGAAGCTACCGATTTTCGGTTCGACTACTCGACTGAACGGATAATTCGAAAATAATATGGGGGGGGGGGGGAGGAAATAAAAAGTCTCTCCTCCCTCTGTTCCAACGAGTGCCGCTGGACAAGAGGTAATGGGGGGGGCATCGGTGACATAATCGGCACCGGCACAGCGCGTCGCGCCGGGCGTGGCTTGTAGGGGGTTTCCCACCTTCAGAGGGCAGGAGGTGGGGGGGGGGAGGCCGCCATTTTTTTTAAAGGGGTTCCGCGTAATCGAAGAAGTCGATTACAAATTTCGAGTCCATTCATCGACTTCCACGACTCATCGTCCCGGCTGGAGAACAATGTCCCGTGGGCCTGCCAGCCAGCTCTCGCTCGAGTTATCATGTGGCCAGTAAGACAACAATAAGAGAATCGCGTCATAGCTAGAACCCTGCCTAAGAGACAGGGCTAGATGAGTAGACACTGCCCACATAACACGAAGCAGGCGGCAGCTAAACAACCGATAACTCTGTGGTTCTCTACCGGTTTGGTATGGTGCTCCCCCCCCCCCAATCAAGACCACAGGTCCTCCGTGCCCCCCCTAACCCATCCACCTCCCCCTCCACACTTGTTTCACATCGTGTGTTCGTGCGTTTTGTCACCGCAACGTGGCGCCGACATTCCCCGCGCACAGTCCACATTTCTCCTGCACGGTATCCATGCCTCAGCCTGTGCCCCCATCCACCGACCTCCCCCCCCACCCCCAATCCGCCGTAAAGGCTTGCGAACCGCTGCGTTGACTCAATAGAGTTCTTCAGAACAACCCCCGTCACATGCAGCAATGAACCCACGACGCCGATTTGTTGACGTAATTTTCCCGAAAATTAGCAACTCCAAATATAAATGTTTGTACATCACATCGCAGCTCTGATCACGTAAAAAAAAATACGGAACAGCCGTTTTTTATTCCTATCGGTGCGATTGAGATTAATTTCCAATCTGGAGGGAGTAAGGTGGCCGTGGTGGTTGGAGAGCCGTGGTGGTGAGATGTTAACTACCTCGCCTGGCATGCAGGAGGTCGTGGGTTCAATCCTGAGCCTAACGATGCCTGTATATTTGGAGTGTGCACGTTCTCCCCGTGGTCCACATTCAGAAACATGCGGTTAGATTAATTGGCTGCTATACATTTCAGCGTGATAAGCCACTTTCGTTGAGCTATCATTTGTGGCCAGGTCGCTTCCAAAAATAAAGCTAAACATAGCTCAGTGGGCCTTGCCTGGTAAAAAATACCAAAAAAATAGCTTCGTTTTTGGTGGTGTTGGCAGTGACAGTGGCGGCGGTCGTGGTGGTTCAGCACTCCGAGACGTTTGCTACGCGATGCTCGCGTTACGGACGTAAGCTGTCGTCGTCGCTGTTGTTGTTGTTGTTGTTGTCGTCGTGGTGGTGGTGACGGTGGTGGCGGTGGTCAGGCACCCGTCGACTCATGACCGCCACGTGCAGAGGCCGTGGGAAGCCAGGGCAAGCCGTGGTGCAGGTAGAGCAGCCCGAAGAGCAGGTTCATGAGCAGGCTCAGGCCCAGAAGGGCGCTCTGAAGCACCCCGCACGGAGAACCTGGCCCGCACGACAAGCAACATCATCGGGTCACCAACACGCACGCAAGAAAGAGTATCACTTAACATGATTATTATTATTATAACTTGATTTGAAGCTTTCGTGACTGCAGGAATTATCGATTTAAAGCTTTCGTGACTGCAGGGATTCATCTTCTTGGTTCTTTCGGTAAAGTCACGTAGAATGGAAATAATAAAATAATAAAAATAAAGCATTGTTTTGTTTTTATTATGTTTTATCTGTATTATTTTATTATTTCCATTCTACGTGACGTAATAATTTTTTTTATTATGTTTTATTTTATTATTTTATTATTTCCATTCTACGTGACTTTACCGAAAGAACCAAGAAGATGCAGGAATTATTATAACAATGTATGACTTTTAACATTCAATTGGCTGGTTATAAACATCTTTAAAAAGAACACCCCCCCCCCGCCCTGTCACCCCCACCCACTCCCCCCGACCCTCCCTCCACCACATTTGATATTACCAAAGCTAAAAGACAAAAGATTATCCAAAGCAAGTAATAACAGGTTGGGTGAACGCATCGGCCAGATAAATTTGGTTTCTCTTATGTGGCCGGGGTCAGGTGTGGCCACTGCAATCATTCGATTAATTGCTCCGGGCACTCCTGCTCCTCGTCACCTTGTGAAACCAGTTTCACACACGCACGCAGGACCACGAGGGGGGGGAGTGGGGGGGCACGTGCGTGCGTCCGTTCCGCGCTTACCCACGCGCAAGGGGTCGGCGGCAAAAATAACAAAAAATTTGCCATTTTTCTTTTTATTATTCGGTTGTAAAAAAACCCCCTCAATATTTCGAGAGGCGTAATTGCGCACGGGTGGGTGAATACGAGACGGCGGTCCTTAAATAAACGTCGTCGCGAAGCGGTCCTCAAAGAGCCGCACGCGGCACCGGAGCCCGGAGTTTGCCGACCCCTTTGCCCACGTGCAAGTCAAACCGTGCACACGTCAGTCCACCGCTGGATGACGGCTTCCTCGCTCGGGATTCACTTGCCCGAACCTGTCGGGTCTTTCTCGGGCTAAGTAGGGAAGTGAGCCTGCGACGGGTGACCGCTCGGATGGGTGACCGCCGGCTCATGCACGACATGCTGTGGAGGTTACACGGCGAGCGATGTGGTAATAACACTGGTTAACAAACAAAAAAACGTTTTTTTCTGGCCTGGACGTTTGCAGCTGTTTTAGACTAATTTCAGGGTGCTGATTCCAAATCTGATCTCAGATTTGCTCTATCACATCTCATTTTATGCATACCCCATTTTCATTGATTTTACCCGAAATTAACTCTGTCACTTATGATTGCAAGTTGTTGCGAGTCTGTGACTGCTTTAGTGTTAAAATATGGTGCTGTATTTTTAGGATAGTGTGTTTATAATATGATTTTATGTAGATATCCACATCTATTTAAGATTTTTCTTCTGCAGTTTTTATTGAAAATGCAATATTTTATATCTCAAAAACCTGATGTGATAGACAAAAACTGATGCCAGATTTGGAATCGGCACCCCAAAATTACCTTAAAAACCGTTGGAATACCTTATGCCAGAAAAAGTGTGTTGACCAGTGTAATCGGTTGCTGCGCTGTACTTCTACGCTCCGCGTCTCCACGCAACGCCCCTCTCGCCAACCCACGCAGACCAGCATGGTCCAAGTACGGTCGAATAACCCCCACGACCTGCACGGGCATGGGAAGGCCCTCATCCAGCAGTGGATTGCCAAATGGGCTATGTGCATGTACATAAAAGGTAAAAGTGCAGCCCTGCAATTGCTTGTTCACGCCAATTCAGGTGGAAGGGCCTCCACTGGAGGGAGCTCCAGAGGGAACCGCTCTAGAGGGTATTTTTTGCCTTCTATTTCACGCCGGTCAGACTTCTCGGAAGAGGTGGAAATACCCACACTTCACCCCACCATACGCGACCCGCCGATCGACTCACGGTGGTGTGCCGACACACGCTGCTGGGCGGATGACAGAGGCAGTGGGTATTTAAAGGAAACTCGCAGGAGGTGTGTTTCTTTCAACTGTCGCACTGGCAGACGGAAGCGAACAGTCACTGTGTGCTGACCATCACACCGCCGCACTGGTCATTGCTTCACGGCGGGCACGCGAGGTGACGAGATCACGCATTGGTGCGTCGCGGGAGTCCGGGGTGTGTGTGCTTGCGTGCCACGGCGTCGCGAGTGGACTAAATGGAACTCGAAAGAAATCCGTGCTCGCTCGCTCGCTCGTTGGCTCGATGAAAAAAAAAAAATTTTCTAAAGGACAACGCGAGCAGCAGGCATGCATCTGAAGGATGCGTGGAAAGGCGGCAGATAAGATCAAACGGCGAGCACAAAAGCACAGCACAGACTTCCTTATCTCTGGCTCCACGCGGATGTGGCCGTACACAAGCGTGCAACCCAGCAGCGTTTGCCTAACAAGGCTGGCTTCGGCTGATGGAACCCTGCAGTGGTGCCGCGGTGGCGAGATGTTAACTACCTCGCCTGGTATACAGGAAGTCGTGGGTTCAATCACGACCTTGATGCCTGGTGTTTATTTGGAGTTTGCGCGTCCTATCTCCATGCGATCGCATGGATTTTTCTCCGGGTTGTCCGGTTTTACCATCCACATTTAGAAACATGGCTGCATAGTGTATTTGACTGCTATACATTTCCGCGTGATAAGCCACTTCGTTGAGTTATCATTTGTGGCCGGGTTGCTTCTGAAAAATTGCTATTTAGCTCAGTGGGCCTTACCCGGTAAAATAACAAAAGGTCAAAATCAGTCAAGTGGTTACTTGCTGAAACTATTTCTACCTCTCTGCTCTGGCCTTTCTACGTGCCGTGAGGAAGGGCCATCGAGCAGAAACGTCACCCAGTGTCCATACATGCCTCGCCTTTTTAAGGCCACGGTGTTATTAATGATGAATGCGTTGGGGTTTTTTGGACGATGTTGGTCTCGAGAGCCAATCGGCTGATGGGCTAAACATATTTTGCATTTACATTTGGAGACACAGAATGGAGTTCTGCTCAAAAACTGCGAAGCGGTGAAGCACTGTTTACCGTTTACCCTGCTGTGTGCAGCAAATTTCGGCCTGGGTTTCCTGTAAATAATTGTTGTTTTTGCGCTGGTCAGTTTGCGCATTCCCTTCACCCTGCGATGATCTGTAACTGCCGCCACTGCAAACGCTCTTGGGCTGTAGTCGTCCAAGTCGTTAAAGATCTGCTAAGCTCAATGGGGCCTGACCAGCTGAAAAATAAATCCTGAGTTCGAGTCTAGGCACACGTAGAGTGCATTCCACAGGCATTGACGCCTATCAGTAAGGCCAAGCACAAATGTCTATATTCTTCCAAAAAAAACCCCCAAGATATGTATCTGACCTAAAAACATTAAGATTTGAAAAAAATGTATATACATTCTTAAAATTTTGTCAAAACAAATACATTTAGGATATACCGGGTCAAAATACGCTACACTCGATGGAGTCTATCCAATTACAGACTGTTATTATTATTATCAACAACAACATTGTAAAACGACACGCACATCACAGCACGTGGTGACAGTTGCGGCCACACTAGCGAAAACAGTTCGGTTTTGGAAAACGATGAATTACTTCCGACTCGTGGGGATATTTTGAACTCAAGACAGCACGCGTCATATCACTCCTACTTCTCGCTGACCTATATTGTTAGACGACAGTCTGTGAGCACACGACACATTGCATCGTAACGGGCAAACATAACGCGATAGCTTTCGGATCTAAAGGGCGCCTGTCTGTCTGCGTTGCAGTCGTGCGCAGACAGATGCTCTAAAAAAAAACCCATACAAGAGCAATTGACACTGGGCAAATATTCACATGCTGACAAAAAATTACCTGTAAAATTACTCAATTGGGATTCAACGTAACATCGCCCTGTACTCCAAAAAAAACTTGGCAAGAGCCTCCTGAAGAAGAGTCTTGAGACTCAGCGAGGCCTTCCTAGGTAAACAATCCCCAAAAACGATAATGTATGTATGTTGAACTTCTTTCGCACCGTACGTAGCTAAACCGTGCTAATTGGAGGTGCGTTATTGGCCAACCGTGCTAAAACCAAAACTATGCTGTCAAATTGCCCGCTGATGCCGGATGTAATAACCAGCGAAACGTCGTACTCAAAAATTGTAAATGATGTTGATTCACTCTTCAACACACCGGTGGGCTAAAGCAGTGAACTATTTGTCTTTTATCAACGTGACACATTTTTTACTGATTGGCCGTGTCGGGTGGTGGAGGGTTAGCGACACATTTAGAAATAACGCCATCTAACCCAAAAACCTTTATCATGAATAATATTGGTCGCGAAAGCCTACGTGTTAAAACCAAAACACGTTTACGTTTGTCTCACAGCATCGCACCTCACCGAGTTTCGGATTCTCACGAGTGGCAAGCGAAGGGCATCCGCCCGCGTCGGGGTGCGATTCCGCACGCGGCGAAACAGAAAGTGACAACTCGGCACAAAGGCCAACTCGTAATAATAACAATCATAAACCCAAAACAAAAACCAGGCCCTGCTATTCACGGCCTGTGCTCCTGGCGGCCCATAATAGATACAGGCTCGCTCGCCCCCTCCTCCTCTCTCTCTCTCTCGCCCGCTCGCCCGCCCGTTATCGACAAAACAACAAACACAGGACACGGCAGACACCACGTGCGTCTGGGGGTCACCGCCGATCGACTTCCGCCCCTCTCGTCTCTCCGCTGCGGGGTCTCGTCGGCCCAAAGGCGAACGACGACGACACGGGGGGCCCGCCGATCAGAGCTCCATCCCCCCACCACCCCAACTCCCGGATTTCAACCCAAGTCCCCACCCCCCACCATTCCCTTCTTCCTCCTCCCCCGCCCTCCTTCTCCTCCTCAACACCCCTCCACCACCCTCTCCCCGCTCCCCAAATCTCGTGATACAACAACAACAAAAAAATTGGCGACCGGATGCGGCCGCTGGGGCAAAATGCGGCATGATGCGGGGCTTTTTCGGTTTTCTTCCTCGCGATTCCATTTGTTCGAACACCGCTGGCCCAGTAAGGTCGCTCTGCTTCCCTGCACGCCCAGCCCCGGTGCCTGTCCCTGACCCGTGAGTGTGTCTCGTGCGCCGCGGCGGCAGACGGCGGCGAACTTTGTTGCGTTGCATGCGCCCGTCTCTCCCTTTTGCGGCGCGCTTTGTGACGATGACGGCAGTCCTGTGGTCCGCATGTTCATTCACAAATACCCGCCTGCGCCTTTGTGTGCACGTGGCACGCGCTGTGTGTGTGCGCGTGTGTGTGTACGTGGCTATGCGAGGCATCTGTCTCTTTGTCTCGTATACAAGTGTCGGGAACCAGAGTGTCTAATCCTGAAAAGAAATCTAAATGTAAATCTAAATCCCATTTTGCTAGACATACTACATGTAGGCCAAAACATCCTTTAGAGGGCCTCTCTAGAGCTTCTTCTGGAAGATGAGGCCAAAACACCGTATACGGGGGTGCTTCAGAACTCCCTCTAGTGGAGGCGCTTCCGCCAGGAGTGGCCGTGCATTGCATTGTGCACGTCGAACAATGAGCTGCTCGCTCCACAGCGATAGCAGAAGTATGTTGTGGAATTTCGGACCCATTAACGTCACACGGGTGGCGTAGCGGTTAGCGAAACCCCAGCGGCTCGAGTTCAAGTCTCGGCCACGGCTAACATCGGCGATGAGCGATCTGAACCGGTCCCGGACCCTCTCTCTCGCTTTCACCAACTCGCATTTGACCAGCAGGGTGAAGTACGGTCAGACAACCCCTATGGCCGACACGGTGGGTGTGGAGAGGCCTTCATCAGCAGTGGGTTTCACAAAAAGGGGGCTGTGCATTTATTATTATTATTATGACGAAGATCACGTGAACGTTTTAAAATGCCGTAATTTGGGAACGAATACCAGCGGGAAGCCTGGAAATTCCTGCCACCGTATTTACATTTTGCTTGGATGCCAAATCAAAACAAGAAGAAACTAAAATAAAATACCAAAACTAAAACCCCCACCACTTTGGTGAAGATTATCATTACTATTGTTATTAAATAAACATGAAAATGTTAATGTTTGGAGCTGTACATTAATAAATAACTTATTACCATCATAATTTCATACAGTACCTGCATATCCCCTTTATTTTCTTTTTGCAAATATACATATTGTACAAAAATAAAGCGGAAGTTTTTTTTTCCCCCTACGCCAAATTTAACGACTTATAATAGATTTTTGTTGGGTTAGCTCGTGTAATGATCTGGCCTAATTTGTGTCCCCCCACAGAGAGAACCTAATTGGGCAGAGACAAAAGAGACACGTGACCAATCTTACTAAGTGCCCTAAGTGATGACCTCCGGTGTAGCAGGCTGAACCATGGAGGGGTCCCACCACACACAAGAGGACCTGGTGGCCAGGATCAACCAAAGCAGGAAACAGTGCCGGACAAAGACCTACCAGGTGACCTGACAGGAAATCTCAACCGTGGGGAAATGACAATGACCAAATCTCACCTGGTGACCTAGCAGGGAAGCAGCTTTGGTGAGAGCATGATCTGAGGTGGGGGAGATGTTATCTCCCTCGACTGGTAATGCAGGTCGTGGGTTCGATCCCGACCCTGATGCCTGTATATTTGGAGTATGCGTGTCTCTCTTCCCCGTGGTCGCGTGGATTTCTCTCCGGGTCCTCCGGTTTTTCCCTCCACATTTAGTATATACGTGCGTTTAGAGTATTTGGCTGTTATCATTTTCCGCGTGATAAGCCACTTCGTTGAGCTATCATTCGTGGCCAGGTCGCTTCTGAAAAAGAGCTATAAAGCTCAGTGGGCCTTACCTGTTAAACTAAAAAACAATATAAGTTGAACTATGGAGAAGAGACCAAATCTCACCAGGTGACCTAGCAGGGAAGCTTTCGTGAGCAGGCTCAATAAAGGAGAAAACAGTTGCAACCTTCCGGACGTCCTCAGCTGAGCACCTTTGATGAGCGGGGCTCAAGCGTGAACACAAGCTTGGAAGGCCACATCTGGCGCTGCCGTATCACGCGTGCGGCCTGCCACAGTGGTTGGTGGGAGGGCAGCGGGGGGGGGGGGGGCGGCCAGGGTACCTCCGTGGGCGCGCGAGGGGCAGGACGCGTCCTCCCTCCGCACCGAGTGCGTCGTGGTGTCGACGGGGCACTGCGAGGAGCCGCTCGAGCTGTCCCGCACGAGGCCCGACTTGTCGCTGCACACGTCGCTGCTGCCGTAGACGGACTGGCCACCTGCGGTGAGGGACACGCGGCCCATCGGCGTGACGCGCGTTGACACCGGCGCGGGAACGGCATGCGGCGGAGCCATCGCTTAACGCGTGTTCACGCGACGTGCAAAATTAAACGATTACACCGAGCAGCAACAGACATGGAGCGAGGCTTGCGTTACGACCGAACGAAGATTGAATTTTCAGAAATGTTTAACTTCAAGTTCAATTCAAGCATTCAGCAAAGACAAAAACCAATTTCCACTTTGGCCGTAGTGTTGGGGAGGAGAGACTCTAGAGGGCTAGAATGCAGCAAGGGCATTGGAATGGTTGAGGTGAGATGCAAGGTACTTTGAGTTGTAGAGACATTTAAGCAAGAACCCTATTGCAGGGGGTCTCTGGTTTATGACTTTTATATAATGACCCCAAGCATCGATTTACGACACAGAAACTTGATTTACGGCGCATCTTCCGACACAACTTCGAACGCATTCGAACAGAGTCAGGTTTCGGACGTGACTTACGCGTGGAGCTTTTGTTATTCTGAAGTGTTTTTTGTTGTTGTGGACCTTTACCCACTAAACCCTGTTAAATATGGCTGATAACGAGGAAAAACACATCAGATTTACGCCGATGGGGTTTCCAAGAAAGCTTTTAACGTTGCAAAGAGCGGGGACCGCCTGTACATGCCAAATCCTCGTCTTTATCATGGGCATGATCACCACGCATCATCGTTCTACCATCATCACAGCCATCATCACAGTTACGTGATTTGGTAAAACCATACAGCAAAATCATCCCCCCTTCTGACAATGTCAATCTATGACGATAGCGCCTTTACGCTGTAGGAATATGCACGAACATCAAACGCTGCTCAATAATAATTATTTTAATTCATTACAACTGTCTTCCAGTTGTGTGGTTGTTTGCTTATTTTTCAAGTCATCCGAAGCCAACGGATTTCACCGTCCCAGTATGCGCAGGTGGATTGTTTGTATGGATGATTGTATGCGTGCGCGTGTATGCACAAATGCGTATACATCGTACGTAGAAATCGTACAGTGGCTGATGTCAGCGACGCGTGATATCTGAACCAGTCACGGGCCTCCCTTACGTCGTCTCGGCTATAAATCAGTACCCGGTACCGGCGTGTAAACATCAACGAATACCAAAATGAACTAAACGTTGTCATCGTTGTTGTTTTGAAGGTGCCCGACAGCTTGGGTCGGGGTGTGAACCGGTTGGAGCCGACCGTTGAGGACAGGCGGCTGCGCGGGCGAATAAAACAGCGGCGGTCACACACACCCACCCACACACCTACACACACACCCACACAGCCACACACCCACCCACCCATCCACACACCCACACAGCCGCACACACACACACCCACACAGCCAACCACACACCCACCAACACACCCACATACACACCCACACAGCCACACACACACCCACCCACACACACCCACACACACACACCCACCGACACACACACCCACACACACCCACACAGCCACACACACACACCCACACACCCACACAGCCACACACACACCCACCCACACACCCACACACCCACACAGCCACACACACACCCACACACACACCCACACACCCACACAGCCACACACAAACACACACACCCACACACCCACACAGCCACACACACACCCACCCACACACCCACCCACACACACCCACACACACACACACACACCCACACACACACCCACACACCCACACAGCCACACACACACCCACACACCCACAAAGCCACGCGCAAAACGATCACGTGAAAGGAACTCGCCGTGGCGTTTTTGCGTAGCTTGCGCCAGCACAGGTGCGTTGTGGGAGGTGACGCTCTCTGACCTCTCTCTCTGCTGCGCTTTTGTCGAGGTGTCGGCTACGAGGCAACGTTTTGCCGATTTCAACGTCACACGGGGATGGGGGTGGGGGGAGCGAAACGGACAAAAGGCCCTTTGGAACTGACACCGAAAGCGACGTTGTCACATGCGCGCGGACACACGTACGGCGACAAAGGTCCTCCGTGCAGCCTTTCACAGACTGTTGGGAAAGTGCTGTTTGCAAGCGCCTGTAATTACCTCCCCGGTGCTGAAATTACGCAGGCTGCAATTTGAGGCTGAGCTGACCTAGGGGAGGCCCACGAACGGTTCAGAAGTCTTTCGTCACTCATGTTAGCCGAGTCTGTGGATGTAACTTAGGCCACCGGGACAGTAGCGCAGTGCACTAACCAAGATCCCCGTGTAGCCTGTAACAGACTGTCGGGGCAAGTGGTGTTAGTAGACACGTAGAGATGTTTACACGGCGCACCAGGTACTCGTTTGTGGCCGAGTCGACCTAGGGAAGGCCCAGTACGGTTCAGATAACCGTCGCTGGTGTTGGCGGCCCTGAGCGGGAAGTGAACACAACCCACACGCACTGTGACACTGATATGTGTAGGCTTAAAGTGATTGGTAAGATAAGTAACACAGCACTGTAAGGCTATTCACGCAAGAGTTACAGGGGATATAAAAGAGCACAACGCAGCCAGGGAAGGGAATGCTTAGAATGATACTTTTTTGCTCGGGCTAATCCTTACTTAAGATTTAGACAGTTTGTACTATGTCATTCCTTTGTTTAGTAACCTTTAGATACACGAGTAAAACAAATATATCACCGTGTGTATATATATATATATTCTTGCACGTAAATTCGACCACAATTGTCACGTAGATAGGTTCAAGCTATCTACCCAAAGAATATGAATTCCTGCAGTCACGAAAGCTTTAAGTCAAGATTACGACCACAATGTATAGATTTGTTGAATTTAGTTGAAACAGAAAATTCATTCCCAGTAAATATGGAACGTTGGGGTCCCAACGTTGCGCTCAGGCTGGGCAAAACTTTTCAACTACACGTCAACTTTGGGGCAACGTTGACATGTTTTTTTTTACTTGTTATTTTTCACCAGATCTTCACTATTATATTTCATACACGTAAAAAGTTATTTCCTGAAAACCCCCGCCCCCCCCCCCAAAAAAAAAATCCCTGAACGTCCATAAGTATTTTACCTAAGAGATAATTCTATATGACACGTGAAACATAATATCTATTCTTAACAAGGCTATTTATTTTTGTTCGTGGAGTGGCTGTGTAACGTTACGGCAACACTATAGAACTCGTCGGAATTTTGTTTTTCCGTAAAGTTGATAAACAACCACCGCCAAACGCAGGAGGCAATGGGGGCCTTGGCTTACACAGAGAGAGAGAGAGAGGAAAGAGAGAGAGAGAGAAAAAAATGTCAAAGAAAAAAATACTTCTTATGTAAATGCTCGCATTAACCACAAAGCACCCCTCCCCACAGTGGGTTGGGAGCCGGGGACACATTTATCAAACTCATCGGCGGGACAGCTGCAGCGACAGCTGTGACGAGGGCGGGCGGCGACGGACGGCGATCGCGGGTAATGACGGTGTAACGCGATGACGGTCGAAATTAATGGGACGTCACGATTGAACGGCGGCACTTTCGGGGTCTCTCGCGCGACAAAGGCTCTTCGAAGAGCAGTCGGCGATGTTTTTCGGAAAACAATCGCGTTGCCGGAAATGGATCTATTAATTTGAGGGGTCTTTTTCCTTCTTTCCCCACCCACTTTCTCAGGGCGCGTTCGCAGGTTAGATGCGATGTCACGCGCACAAAAGCTGATGTTTAACGCGTAGGCTTTCGCGACCAATATCATCCATAAGAGGTTTTTTTGGGTTAGATCGCGTAAATATATAAATGTGTCGTTGAACCCGCCACCACCCGACACAGCCAACTAGTAAGGGTTGTCATGTAAACTGAACGTCGCCAATTCGTCACTAGAACAGCACACCGGTGTGTTGGAGAGCCAAGCCGTAACATTTACAAACTGAGTACGACGTTTCGCCAGTGATTACAACTAGCTTCATCGGCGACAGCCAGATTTGTGCAGAAGTATTACTAAATGTTGTGGCTTTGCTCTCCAACACACTGGTTGTACTGTGTCGGGTGGTGGCGGGTTTTAACGACACATTCAAATATTTACGCGATATAACACAAAAAAACCTCTATTAAAAGCCGATGGGTCGAACCGAAAGCCACGGGGCCAAGCGTGGATTTGAGGAATCTGCAAAAAAAATATTGGCGGGGCTCCTTTGAGTGAATGGGCCAAGTTTTGTTTTGGTTCACACCACTTGCTTTTCTATTTGGAGTGAAAGATTATCCATCGATTCTTGAACTCATCAATACACGTGTCGAATTAGATGCATAACAATCGACGTCAATCACGGGGTATATGTTGATTGCGTGTCTACGGGGGGGGGGGGGGGGGGATGGTAGAACAATCAATACCAATTATTTCAGCTAAAAATTCTACGCGTTGCAACGCATGTATAAGAACCGTTGGTTCTTCGATTCGTGTGCGTTTTATGTCATGGGTTCAAAACACTCCTGCAGCAACTAGAGGCGCAACCATTTGCCACAATGTTAAAACAAAATCAATTCTCGAATCGAAAGGCGATCCTGAATCGTGAGGATTCAACCAATGCTTGGCCGTTCTTCCCACGTTGACCTTCATGCGACTAACCCCTCTCCCTACCGGTCACATGACCAAAGACATTTCACGGTAATATGAGCATTAAAGTAATTATCATCCCCTGTTTACATCCCCAGGCTAGTGGTGGAAATTCCACATTAATATGGTGGGGGTGAGTGTATCCATAGGACAACCGATGTTGACCTACCCACAAAGCGATACTCGTTTTACGCTCCCCAAAAGGATGATGGGCCGAGTCGCGTATGGATGCACTGCAGTTCAGATGCACGCATAGCGCTGATTCGGCGACTTCTCAGGACACAACTCGCTGTTCCCTCTCGCGTGCGCCTCGCAAATGTCGCCTCACTTCGACTTTCACCGTTGAGCCGAGCTCCATCGCTCATCTAAAACGAAACTATCAACTATTTTTTATTTGACCATATAAGGCCCACTGAGCTATATAGCTCTTTATCTTTTTATCTTAGAAGCGACCTGGCCACAAACAATAGCTCTACGAAGCGGCTTATCGTCGCGTGGAAACCATTCGAAATATGGAGGGAAAAACTGGAGGAGCCGGAGAAAACTCCACGCGACCGCGAGGAGAGAGACACGCAAACTCCAAATGTCCAGCAGGCGTCAGGGGTCGGGATCGAACCCACGACCTCCTGCATACCAGGCGAGGTAGTCACCATCTCTACAGAGGCAGCAGCGGGCCGGCCTCTCGACCGGCGGATTTGAATGTGCAACGTTGCCGCTGCGTCTCCTAATGATGATTAATGGTGCGAAAATGCCTACCCCCCCCCCCCAAAACCCCCCCACCGCCCTCGCACGTGACAACCCGACGACCCCCCCCCAGCCCCTTCCTCAGGGGTTTCGTTAATTGCCTGCTCGGTTAATACGGGTACAGCGCCCACTTTAAATCCTTGTGCCATTCCTCCCGCGTAATATTATCCCCGTGTTTACAAATACGGCTCTCGTTCAGAGTCATGACTAACCGCAGGCCTTTCTCCGCTTGTAATAACTATAACAGCGCATTAAATGGGGGGGGGGGGGGGCGTTGGGGGGGGACGAGGAGAATCGCTGCCCTTTGCGATGTGACTGCAGACTGCGAAGACGGAGGTGAAAAGCCAGAAGCTCAGCCACACCATTCAGACGCTGTCTCCCTGACAAACCTGGTGTTCACCTGAGGACGGCTGCTTGCGTTGTGGCCGAAACGTCGTGAGAATGATTTTATTATGTTTTATTTTTATTACTTTATTATTTCCATTCTACGTGACTTTACCGAAAGAACCAAGAAGATCAGCCACACCCGTTAACGATATCACGATTTAGTGGGTCGACAATGCTCTCAAGCCCGGTCACCGGTGACTGCACACAAAGAGAACAACAATCGCATCAACTTTGGTTTCGCAATCAATTGGGCAAAATATTTGCAGATCTCTGCATATTTCCAGTCTTGAACGTCATGCGACGGACGGAAAGTGTTGACTTGGAGGTCGATCGCTCGAGGGGGATCTCGAAAGTAGTTCTGCGATCTTCTTAGGTTTTTTCGGTAAAGTCGCGTAGGTAAAAAATAAAAAAAATAAAAATCACGACGTTTCGGAGGCAACACAAGCTTCCGTCTTGCCTCCGAAACGTCGTGATTTGTATTTTATTTTTATTTTACTTTTATTAATTAAAATTTTTTACCTACGTGACTTTACCGAAAAAACCTAAGAATATGAATCCTTGCAGTCACGAAAGCTTCAAATCTAGTTCTGCGATGTCAGCTTGCGCGGGCCATTCTCCAGCATAAAGGGTGGCACTGCCCTGTGAGAGATCCGAACGGGCGCTTATTCTCATCACGTGACGCCAATAGCACAATCGCCACAACATCCAGGACGACTATGAAATAAACACCGGTTAAGCTTAAGATGCTGTTGAATTACGATGCCGTATCAAATGCGTAATGACAATGCCATCGAATAGTCAAGGAAAGCCTCCCTGCACTTCGACATTCCTTTAAAAGAGGGTGCTGCGCATGGGTGTTCCGGTTGGCAGGATATGAATGTGACTGCTGAGCGAACACACTTCGCCCCTCCACAGCACAGCTTTCCTCGCTCTGTGGGGGAGTAGATACGTACCAAAAAAAAGGGGCACACAAAGCGAAACCGCACGAGGAGACAGCTGCCTGCCGAGCAGCGCACGCAGGACACACGCAGTACGCGCACGCAGTACGCGCACGCAGTACGCGCACGCAGTACACGCAGGCAGTACACGCACGCAGTACACGCACGCAGTACACGCACGCAGTACACGCAAGCAGTACACGCAAGCAGTACACGCACGCAGTACACGCAAGCAGTACACGCACGCAGTACACGCACGCAGTACACGCACGCAGTACACGCACGCAATACACGCAAGCAGTACACGCAAGCAGTACACGCACGCATTACACGCACGCAGTACACGCACGCAGTACACACACAAAACATACCGCTACACACTAATGCTGTCCCACGTCCGACCGCAAATCTGTATTCGAGTGATTTCAAGCCGCATTAAATAGCGAATTTTGGGCAGAAATAGTTTTGCCACATTCACAGCGCAAAATTGCACGAACCGAAGCCGCATGAAGCGAGGAGAACCTGTATCTCGTGCCTTACTTGAATTGTTAAATTAACACGATGAACCTGTACTGCTGCTTCCAATCAATGTGCCCGTTTTAATTTCAGATATCTATATTCTTTGGGTCTTTCGATGAAGCCACGTAGATAGAAAAAAATATAAAATAATAAAATAATTTTACTTTAGTATTTTATTTTATAATTTTTGTATTTATTTTTACAATGATTTTATATCTACGTGGCTTTACCCAAAGAATATGAATTCCTGCAGTCACGAAAGCTTTAAGGTAAGATATCTAGTTGCTGCTTCTCAAACTCATACATAAAATCACGATAACTGTTTGTACTCTCACCAAGTGGAGAGGGATATTTTAACGTTTCGGCCAAGTGGCCTTCTTCAGGCAATAGTAAAGCTTAGAGAGAAAGACACACACACAAACACACAGAGGGAGAGAGAGAGAGAGACAGAGAGGGAGTCTAAAACAGTGCTGGGGAGTGATGCCGGCTAGTGTGTGATGTCAGATAACTCACGAGGGGGTGTAATGAGTCATGAGCGTTTGAAATTTCTTCGACCGCATTCCAAACGTTAACCACGTCGACTGTCTGACCACACGTTCAACGTGCGCTGTGTTATCACTTCTTATGACCGTGGCCTTTCGTGAAGAGTAGTCTTTTCCGCATCAACGAACTCACACCACCATCATCATCATCATCACCGTCAGATGAATCGCGTAGGTGATCAGCGTGTGTCCATGTTCCAGCTCACGCCTGGTTTTAAATAACGAACTTCTTACCCCATCTTCTTGGTTCTTTCGGTAAAGTCATCACGTAGAAGGGAATTAATAAAATAATAAAAATTAAACATAATAAAATAAAATAATTCTCACGACGTTTCGGCCACAATGCGTTGTGGCCGAAACGTCGTGAGAATTATTTTATTATGTTTTATTTTTATTATTTTATTATTTCCCTTCTACGTGACTTTACCGAAAGAACCAAGAAGATGAATCCCTGCAGTCACGAAAGCTTTAAATCGAACTTCTTACCCCATGTTTCGGCTATGGCCAAAGTCACTCGGCATGCACCACATCTCGTCAGATCTCTCGGACGCTTTATCAGATTCTGACCCTGGATAGGTGTTTGGTCCGGCGTCCACCACGCACAAACAGGGTTGTCATCGCGTTCCGGGACTCATTGTCAGCGGACGGCAGTGCAGGAAATATCCGTTATTATACTGCACTACGCTCCTTGCCTTCACCAGCCTGCACTGACCAGCATTCTGAAGCATGGTCACCCCCCATCCCCCCATAACCACCACCCCAACAACTCTTTCAATACATGTGGTCAGCGTGGAAGAGTAGGCCAAATGTCCATTAGAAGGGAGCTCTCTTAATTCCCTTTTAAGCCAAAACACAGAGCACGCTTGCTCCTATATTTGACCGCTATACATTTCCACGTGATGATGAGCCACCTTCGTTGAGTGATCAATTGTGGCCAGGTCGCTTCCGAAAAAATTAACCTGTAAAAACAAAGTTTTTCACTATAAATCCTTTATATGCGTGGTGGCTAGAGTCCTCTCGTCCTCTGGCTTGAGATGGCTGCCACCTATGGGTCAGATGATTGTCTGCCAGCATTAAGCAATTGGTAATTAAATATAAAAAAAATTTCCCTAAACAGTGTAAAATTTAGGAAAATTTTTTTCACGAAAATTAATTGTCACGCACAACGAGTTTGTGTGGAAAATGTCAGCTCGATTGGATCACGGGAAGTGGGTTAAAAAACGACCGAAAGATTTGCACGGTCGTAAGCAAGCAAGCACGCAAGCACGCAAGCAAGCAAGCGAACTTAATATAAAGGATTTAAAAATATATTCGCCTGTGGAGGACGCGGGGATCGATCCCGCGACCTTTGGCATGGGAAGCGAGGGCGCTACCAACTGCGCTACTCCGCCACGGCCTGTGGAGGGGTTACGCTCTGGGCTCTTACACTCTGACGTTCAGCCAAAGCCAAGAATGAGTTCTTTTGAATATATGTAAAATATTTTTTTTTTGCCTAAAAAGTGTAAAATTTTGGGATTTTTTTTCACGAACATTAATTGTCTGGCACAACGAGTCTGTGTGGAAAATGTCAGCTCGATTGGATCACGGGAAGTGGGTTAAAAAACGACCGAAAGATTTGCACGGTCGTAAGCAAGCAAGCACGCAAGCACGCAAGCACACAAGCAAGCAAGCGAACTTAATATAAAGGATTTAAAAAGAGCTCTGTAGCTCCGTGGGCCTTACCTGGTAAAATAAAAAATAGTTTATAAGTTTAGATGAGCGATGGAGCCCGGCTCAACGATGAGAGTTGATGATGAGAGAAAGTTTAGTTTAGTGTGTACCTAACTTTAATCTGGCGCCTCTCGCTCCCAGAATACTCGCATCGCGCTTTTCGATTTGCGTGTGTTTACTTCACTGTTAAGATGTACAGCTTACACCATTGTAACCTCATTTGCTAGTAAAAAATGAGTTGTGCGCCTTTTGGCGTCATCTGGTCCAACCCATGTGAGACTAGGCTCTAAGGAAAGCTGTCTCGGGTGTGGACCAATCAACTTCAAGGACAGTGCATACATTATCAGAGTTATGTTTTTTTTTGCATTATGGCTGCAGGTATTGTGGTCTATGCAAACATGATTCCTAGTAAAAAAAGGTGTCAGTTTTGTTGCCAGATAGAAGGGTAAAAAACCAATTATCACGTACAGCTTACTTGCGCCTCCACCTAAACCTTTCTGCCACCTCCCGCTCTCATATTTCAAGCGCACCGCATTCGTTTACGTCTGTGTATCTGCGTACCGCACGGCATGGAGGCCCGGCTCGGCGGCCCCGTCCTCCTGCCGCCGACGCTGCGGGGGGCGGAGGCCGCGTCCTGGCAACAGTCGCCGGGGGCGACCACGGAGCCGGGCGGCGTCGGCGGCGACGACGTCGACGACGACGACGAGGCGGTGGAGGCGCCGGCGGCGGTGCCGGTGGCGGCGCCGGCGAAGGAGGATGAGGAGCCCAGGACGAGGCGAGCGGGGCTGATGAGCGGGCGCCGCGGGCGGAGCGGGGACGGCGAGAGGGGGCGGCACGGCGTGTACGGTGGCGGCGGGGGGGTCCGCGGCGCCGTCAGGAAGTCGGAGAAGAGCGAGCCGGACGTGGACAAGCACGACGGGGACACGGGGCGGCTCCGGGAGGCCACCGAGAGCGTGTCTGTGTGGCGCAGGCGGACACACGTGCACACGCAGACACATACAAAGACAAAGGTCCCCCCCCCGTATAGCCTTAACAGGCTGTTGGGGCAAGCGCGAGCGCCTGATGAAGGCCGGCACGGCACGCCAGGGGGCGGGTGGCGAATACCACACCCGACCAACTTTGTCTCCCTCGTGGCGATCTTTTTACACACCGTACCAGGTGCTCATTTGTGGCTGAGTCGACCTAGGGGAGGCCCAGGACCAGTTCAGATAATCGTCACTGGTGTCGACCGTGAGCGGGAATGGAACCCGGGTTACCGGGTTCATCGCACTAACTGCTACTCCCACCGCTCCCCACACACACACACACACACGTGTTCACACACACAAAAGTGCTCACACACACACACGCACGCCCACATAGTTATTCTCTATGGGACCCTTTTTTCCCCAGTATCAAGACGATGAAAAAGAAAGGGGCTTTACCCATTCGGCAAGAATACATGAGGCGTTAAGATTTTCAAACACCAAATGAACACCCATCACAAGGCACTAAAGTCTGCACTAACCACACACGCTTGTGGTCAAACATTTTTATACTCTTTGGTTCTGTCGGTAAAGTCACATAGGTAGAAAATTTAATGAAATAAAACAAAAATAATATATGACGACGTTTCGATCGCAACATCTCGCTGGTTCAGCAGTTCCACTGCTGGATTATGAGGACGACCGCTTGCGTTGCGATCGAAAAGTCGTGATATATTATTTTTGTTTCATTTCATTTATTTTTCTACCGACGTGACTTTACCGAAAGAACTACCAAAGATTTTATTTCGATTTAAAGCTTTCGTGACTGCAGGGATTCATCATCTTGGTTCTTTCGGTAAAGTCACGTAGAAGGGAAGTAATAAAATAATAAAAATAAAACATAATAAAACAATTCTCACGACGTTTCGGCCAACAACGCAAGCAGCCGTCCTCAGGTGAAAACCAGGTCCGTCGAGGCGACAGAGTCTGAATGAAACAGCACACGAGCTTGGAGCATATATATAAGCTGGGCGCATTGACAAAGGAATTTGCATATCAAAAGGAATTTAGCATATTTATGGGAAATGCAGGAATGTGATTAGTACTGCATATGCATGTGCATTATGCAGGATTAACAGCATCAAAGGGAGCTGCAGTTACTGCTGCTGCTGCACTTGCAAGTGCAGCAGCAACTGCAGCAGCAGCAGCAACTGCAGCAGCAGCAGCAACTGCAGCAGCAGCAGAAACTGCAGCAGCAGCAACTGCTGCAGCAACAGTAACTGCAGCTCCCTTTGATGCTGTTAATCCTGCATAATGCACATGCATATGCAGTACTAATCACATTCCTGCATTTCCCATAAATATGCTAAATTCCTTTTGATATGCAAATTCCTTTGTCAATGCGCCCAGCTTATATATATGCTCCAAGCTCGTGTGCTGTTTCATTCAGACTCTGTCGCCTCGACGGACCTGGTTTTCACCTGAGGACGGCTGCTTGCGTTGTTGGCCGAAACGTCGTGAGAATTGTTTTATTATGTTTTATTTTTATTATTTTATTACTTCCCTTCTACGTGACTTTACCGAAAGAACCAAGAAGAACTACCAAAGAGTATGGATTCCTGCAGTCACGATAGCTTCAAATCAAGGGTAAAACATTTTGTCAGTTGCTTTATCGTTGGTTCATTGATTTAGTAGGTCAAGGAATTAGTCAATTATTACATCTTTCATTCAGTTAGTCATTCGATCAGTTGGCCGATTAGTCATTCAATCAGCTGACTGGTCAGTCAGTCATAATCAACATTTACGAAAATACAAATACTTAAACTCGTACGCGCGCGATCTACCGCACGTATCGCGCCCTTGGAGAATCGCCATTAATCCATGAACCGTTCCTCCCCAGGTGTACGCGCGGGAGCGGAATTGGCAATCGCCGCAACAAGACGCGGTGATCGACGCGCCGGACGGCCCTCCCCTCTCGACCGCAGCGTCCTCTCTTGCGGGCTTCAATTCCCGCGGAGAGACCCGCGCGAGGGCAATGCCGTTCACGGGGAAAGTATGGCCAGCGGGTTCCGATCAACACAATTTAAATGCTCGCAGCGGTGCACCGTCCCCTGCATCGCAGCACGTGGATACCTGAGAACGGGTTGGCCTTGTACAAGGGCGGAGAGGCGATGGGACGAGGGCTCTCCAGCAGGTAGCACGGCTCTGCACAAACACAAAGACAACCCCCGCCCCGCGTAGGCTTTAGCAGGTTGTGGGGGCGAGAGCTGTTAGCGAGCACCTATTAAAGCCAGCACGGCGCGCGAGGAGCTGGTGTGGTAGATGCATCGTAGCATATTTAAATTTTCCAACGTTTGCTTTTGGGTGGAAATAGGCTGCATCCAGTGTCTCCTGATGGTAATATATCATCCGCGCAGCAATCAGAAATAATCTTTGCGAATATCCAATTGCCTTTTGTGCGTTCGTGTGTGTCCGTGCTCGTGTGAATGAGACTGCATGTCGGTACGCGCGTGCGTGGGCGTGAACGCGCGCGCACGCACGCATCAGAGCAACCGCACGCCCTGCGAGCCCATTACGCCCATCAAGTTTGGCAGTGCCTCGATCGAGTGAACAGCAGATGCGTAGGGTCACGCGCAACTGGGCCTCCTCTGGCGATATTGACACGTGTGAGACTGTGCCGAGACTGCGGAGCGTCGATCTGTCTCTCTCAGCTCCAGGAGGGGCTGGCTACTAACCAGGCAGACATCATCAACATTGTCGTCTTTTGATTTAAAGCTTTCGTGACTGCAGGGATTCATATTCTTGGATCTTTCGGTAAAGTCACGTAGAAGGGAAATAATAAAATAATAAAAATGTTAAACAATAGCAAGAACATTTTCTTGCTGTGGATTTCACACCTGATGATGATTGCTTGTGTTGCAGTCGAAACGTTGTGAGAATTTTTATTGTTATATATTAATATTATTTTATTATTTCCCTTCTACGTGACTTTACCGAAAGAACCAAGAATATAACATCGCCGTCGTCGTTTGCCACGGTGTATCCGCTGCTGGCCACATCATCATCACATGCCCAACGCTGGATAAACCCACAATTGTGGTGGCAGCACACGAGAAGATCTCGCATCATCAGCTACACACCCAATGACAAAGATCCCCAGGAAAGCCTTAAGCAAGCCGTTGGGGCAAGTGGTGTTAGCGAGCACAGTACCTATGAAGGTCGGCATGGCGCACAAGGGCGTGGGTGGCCAGCACCACGCCCGTCCCGGCCGCCTTTGTCTCCCCAGTCACGAGATCTACTACACACCGCGCCAGGTACTCATTTGAGGCTGTGTTGACCTAGTAGAGGCCCACTGTTATTGTTCGAGAGCGGGAATCGAACTCGGGTCACCGGGTTTGTAGCACGGCGTGCTCACAACTGCACTACCGCCCTACCCCAACATGCACACACAAGTGTACACAGCACACTGCATCGTGCGAGTACGCAAGTGAGTGAGCGTGTGTGTGTGTGCACGGGTTCGTGTAGGCAGTTGTGGAGAGAGTGGAGAGTTCCCATACATCGGCAGTGTGCTCATGACCGGCTCCGGTTTGACAGCATAGGTCTCACACAAATTCAGTCGAGCAGCATTATCTTTTCATCGGTTTCATAATATTGTGTGGAAGCTACCTGGTCTGTCGCTCTGCACGAAGCTTCAAGTCTTCTCGGCCACGGTCATTCCCTCCCTTCTCTACGCTTGTGAAACATGGATCCCCCTAATGGAACATCTTCGCCGGTTCGAAACATTTAGGCTGGCCTGCCTACGATCAATCCTGGGTTTAACCAGGCTGGATTGTGTGAGGAGCTTACAAATCCTTCAAAGATCTGGACAAAGTCCCATTGGTGAGCTCCTCCGGCAGGCAAGGCTGCGTTGGCTGGGTCATGTAGCCCGCATGCCCAGCCACCGCATGCCTAAACAGCTTTTGTTCGGCCGGATCGAGGGAGCTAAACGGGCGCGGCACGGGCTAGAGAAGAGATGGAGTGATGTGGTACAGGAGGATGTGGAGCTGAGTGGACTTGCCGATGACTGGTATCAGCAGTGTCAAGATCGGCCTCTGTGGAGGAGGCTCGTGAAGGACACTACTGGGCAATTGGAGGCAGTTGCCCCTCCAACAACAACGGGGGGCGGAGGAGCGACGCTCACAATAACGAGCGGAGTGCCGAGTAGATAAAACACAGAAAGTTGGCACAGTAGGGGGCACAGGTGGTGCATCAGCCAGTCATCTCGGTCATCTCAGTCAGTCGACCCGTGGCACCTGGGTCTGCCCGGTGACCTCCTGCCAGCGGGCATTCGACACTTCACGTGGCCTCAAGCGTTATGGTGACGTCACCGCGAATGGCGGTTGTTGTTGTTGTTATTGCCCGGGTTCGTGTATGCGCGCCTTATGTGCGTTAATTTGTCCGGGTAGATGTATGCATTTTGTGCATATATAAGTGTGTGGCCACACATGTGCGTACATGTGTGCATGCGTGTGTGCGTGTGTGATCCCACACACGAGTGAGTGCGTGCTTGCCCACACGTGTGTTTGTGCATGCGTGCCCGCATGTGTGTGTGTTTGCGTGCGTGCATGCGTGCGCGCCCCGCGCACGTGTGTGGGGCATTTGTGTGTCATCGGCCGTGAGACTCCAGGCATTCGCTTCCCTTAGCCGACACCTGGGCCTGACATACCTGTGCACGTTAACAAAAGCAGCGGGGATGAGCGGGGAGGAGAGATGACGGGGTGGGGGTGGGAGCACGGTGGGGCGGTGGGGGGAGTAGAGAACAGAGGGAAAAAAAGGAAACACAAATGCACGTGCAAGGCCCTCGGCCCGCCGGTGTCAAGACAAAAAATGTTGCAAACGCAAAGCCGAGCCGTCCCCCCCCCCCACCTGCCAAAAGCCCCCCTCACCCCTAGCCTCTTTCCATCTCATGATGGCGGAGAGCCGAGCTGGCACCATGCAGGGCCTGAGTTTGAATCCACGTTATCACCGCCCGTCGTTAAACCGGCTTACACAAAGTGAGAAAAAAATGACACCAAAGTTAAATAATGCGCACGCATGGAACATGGCAATGCTTTGCAATGTGCCGTTCTCATCGGGAGCCGATGGGTGGCTGTCACTGGAACATCCCGGACATCCGTGAAAAAAACAGATGTATCGCTCATGGGATTCTTTCAGCATAAATACATATTCTGATCCTGATACGTTTGCATACGAGCACAGAGGAGTCACTTTGGCCCTGGTTTGTCTACAAGTTTTAAGCAAGAGCTTCCACCAATTTGGCCGGTTTTCAAGCGAGCGAGTTTTTGCATATCAACTTTACAATGCAGGTTTGTCCATCCTACATTGCATCGTCTGCACAAGACGTATTGTGCCCCTCCGTTACAGGCAGACAGAGCAAATGTATAAACTCTTTCAACTTTAGATGGAAACCGTTTAGAAGCAACGCTATGCCGCCCATAAACTATTTTTTATTTTACCAGGTGAGGCCCACTGAGCTATACAGCTCTTTCTCAGAAGCGACCTGGCCACAAATGATAGCTCAACAAAGCGGCTTATCGCGTGGACATTTACAGCAGCCAAATACTCTAACCGTGTGCTTCTAAACCGGAGGGCCCGGAGAAAAATCCACGCGACCACGGGGAGAGAGACACGCAAACCTCCAAATATACAACAGGCGTCAGTCGGCAACGAACCCACGACCTCCTGCATACCAAGTGAGGTAGTTAACATCTCGCCACCTCGCCCCACCGTCCCCCCAACCCCCTCCCCCCCGCCCCCCTGCCGCCTACTCCATGCCAGGGCTCTTCGGTGTCATCACGTCGCACTATGCAATGTCGAGCCGCCCTTCACTTCCTGCACACCTGCAGGTCTAGAGGCCACAAAGCGGTGCTGGGGAAGGGGGCCGTGGAGGTGGGCGGGGGGGGGGGGATGTGGGCAAGGTCAATCCCCACACCACACCTAGCGTGGCCTTTCCCCAGCCGCTCACACCTGGGCCCAGCTGGAGAAACACGGCACCTCCACAGCGGATGAATCCGCGAGACTACGCGGGGGGAGGGGTGGGGTCGGGGGTTACCGACGGCGTCGATTCATCGAGCGACGACGACTCTTCCCCGCTTCGCGATTAGAATCGGAATATTTATTTATGCCGGAAGAATCCGATGAGCTATAAAGCTCTTTCCTTTCCACAGATGTCCAGTCGGGGGCACGGGGTCAGAACGTCAAGACGACGACGACGAGAAACAATACGCCACCGCCGCGGTCAAGCCGCGTTGCGATTTGTAGCCGCCGTAGGTAATCGGTTACAGCCACGGAACTCCCTCCCAGCCACTGGAGGCAGCCCACCTTCGCCGAGGCACGAAATGTTTCTTAATAAAAAGAACCGACCGTCGAATTGGTGCATCGGGAGAAGTCACCGAACCGGCGGAAGGGGGAGAGGACCGAATCGTGTCAAAGTAATAAAAAAAAGTTCGGCAAAAGGGTGAAAAAATAAGACGGGAAAACCCAAAAACTTTGCTCACTTTTTGAAGAGAAATAAACAGCGGCCGACTGATATTGACGTGAATTAGTGCCCCGACGGTGTTTGTCGCTCAAAATCCGAGATCTCTCTGCTATAACCCCCCCCCCACCCACCCTCACTTTGTAGAGTGCGCGGGGAAGGAATAAGCGCACATACAACTGAAGCCAACCATACAGTGCGGCGTGGAGGAACGACACGGGATAGGATGTGGGGGGGGGAGCAGGTTGAAGAGGCGGATGAATGCTGGGAGGAGGTGTAGAGGTGTACGGGCGATGGGGGCGTGCGGTGGGAGGGTGGGGGGCAGGGAGGAGGGGGGGGTGGGTTGAAGGGAGGGCTGCGGATAGGAAGAGAAGGTTGGGGGGCGGGGGAGCAAAAAGAAGAGAGGGAGAGAGAAGAAGGAAAAGAAGAAGGAAAAGAAAAAAAAAGTCGGCGACACAAGCTGACAAATATGCACCCAGAGAAAAGATTTCTACCTACAAGTGACCTGGAAACTATGCTAATCCCGCACGGCTGCGAGTGGTCACTGGCAACATCCTCGCCTCCAGCGCTCCGGGGGTGACCTTTGCCACCTGGCGTGGCGGCGTGCTGACGTATTGTGTTGCATTTCCAAGGCGATCGCGGCGCGTCCGGGCGTCCGTGCGTCTGTCCGTGCGTCCGTCCGTGCGTCCGT